TTTGTGGAGTGGTATTTTAAATCCTTAAGAAATTTTCATATGCCTTGGAATGGAATCGAACCATTGCATCAAGATTTTCAGTCTTACACTCTACCATTGAGCTACCGAGGCATTAATTTTGGTAGTCATGGTACCCAGTCCTATGGACTTATATACACTTAAAGGTGTTTATGTACTTATACATTAATAAGTAACGAAACACGCATTGCGTGTCGAGTCAGGTGCTTTACACCTGCCTAATATATATTTATTATTCATATATTTATAATTTATACATTTATAAGAATATATTTATATATTTTATAAGATATTTATAGATATATATAAATATATCTTATATCGACATAATTTCTCACCAAAGGTGGAAAATCCCACTAATGTGATTTTTAAACGAATTAAAATTTATATGTAACTCCTTCACCATTATCAAATGACTGGAACCCTTTTGGGTTTAAAGAAGTGTAAAATCCATTATTAAATAATGAGTTAATATCCATCATGCAATGATGACGAGGTGAAATGTATTAAACTTATGACAAAATTTTAAATGGTCACCGAGTTAGGTACATATACCTGTCTAAAAATAGCCTTTGTAGCTTAATGGTAAAGCAAATCACTGTTAATGATTTGATTCATGTTCGATTCATGACTGAGGCTAATACCGCATCAAAGATGCGGATTACTACCACTCTATATTTAGTATTAAGGCGAATGCAAGCATTCGATTCAATTTTAAAAAACAGGTGCAAAGCACCTGACTCGGTACACACTAAAAGTGTGTACCTCAATTTTTTAAATTTTATGAGACACGCATCCCACACCCCCCTTTGGGGGGTGTGTACCGCGTGTCGAGTCAGGTGCATTGCACCTGACTCGGTGCACATTTAAAATGTGTATTATAGATTTAATGATATTGATAAAACTAATAGAGATTAGGTAAATATATAGTTAAAAAAATTCAACCAATTATACGAAAAACGCTAATCCCACACCCCCCTTTTGGGGGGTGTGTACCGCGTGCCGAGTCGGGTGTATTGCACCTGCCTACGTTAATAATGTAGGCTCCACCACATAAAAGTGGTGGAGGTTGTAATTCTATATATATATGACATATAATAGCTAAAGGCTCAAAATAAATACAAAAATAATGAATTATAAATATCAAGCACATCCTTTTCACTTAGTAGAACCTTCACCTTGGCCATTAACTGCTTCATTTGCTTTATTAATATTAACTACTGCTTCAGTTTTAAATTTCCACGGTTGGGATTCTTCAATAGCATTAACAATAGGATTTTTATCAGTAATAACTACAATGGCTTTTTGATGAAGAGATTGTATTAGAGAAAGTTCATATCAAGGATATCACACTAATTTAGTAAAAAAAGGTATTACTATAGGTTTTATTTTATTTATAATCTCAGAAGTATTTTTTTTTATATCTATATTTTGGGCTTATTTTCATTCTAGTCTAGTACCTACAGTAGATTTAGGTTCTATGTGACCACCTAAAGGTATTGAAGCTTTAAATCCTTGAGAAATACCATTATTAAATACAATATTATTATTATCTTCAGGAGCTTCAGTAACTTGGGCTCATCATGCAATAATAGGAGGAGATATAAAATCTTGTATTAAAGCATTAGTTTTAACTTTAATTTTAGCTGTATTATTTACAATGTTACAAGCTTTTGAATATTATAATGCTTCTTTTACTATTGCTGATGGAATATATGGATCATGTTTTTATTTTGGTACAGGATTCCATGGTCTTCATGTAATTATAGGTACAATATTTTTATTTGTTTGTTTAATTAGAGTAAAAAATTATCAATTTACAAATTCTCATCATGCTGGTTTTGAATTTGCAATATTTTATTGGCATTTTGTTGATGTAGTATGATTATTTTTATTTATTTCAATTTATTGTTGGGGTTATTAATTAATTTCCCATTTATTTTAATAAATGGATACATAAGATTATAAATGATCCTATGTATCACTTAAAAAGAATATTAAGAAATAAAAAATACGAAGTATGTTTTACATATTGAGTCAGGTGCATACACCTGCCTATTTATTGATTAATATTATGTATATAAAAATTTATATTAAAATATATTTATAGATAAAATAAATATATTATATAAATATATTATAATAATTTTTTAAAGATTAGTAAAAGGTAAATCAAATTATTATTTGACTCATGTTCGATTCATGACTAAGACTTATACCGCATCAAAGATGCGGATTATTACCGTTTTATTTAGTGTTAATTATAAATTAATAGAGTTATTCCCTTTTTAAAGGGGGAAAAATATTAATTAAATACTACATCTTTAATGTGAGATTATCTGAAAAAGATGAGATAAATAAAAATTAGGTAAATATATAGTTAAAAAAATTCAACCAATTATACGAATAATGTTAATCTTATACTTCTCAAAAGGTGGGATGTGCATCGTGTGCTAAGTTGGGTGTATTGCACCCGCCTACATTAATAATGTAGGCTCCATTACATATAAATAATGGAGGTTGTAATTCTATATATATATGACATATAATAGCTAAAGGCTCAAAATAAATACAAAAATAAGTATGAAAAATACTAAATTTACATTATTTGAAAGGTTTAAGATTGGAATTAAAAAAGGATGAAATACATCAACTTTACCTGTAAAGTTGATTGAATTGCAATCACATCCTTTAGTTAGAATATTTAGAGTTTTAGGTGGTATTTGTGTATTATTAATTTTAACTAAAAAAGTTTATTCTTTTAATGAAATTATATTATATATAGTTATATTAATAAGTTTATTTTATTCTATTTTTTTATTCTATATAACTTATAATAGAATAAAACATATTTATTCTACATTAAAAAAAAATGATTTAGAAGTAAGAAATTCTCCTTTAGATAAATTTGCTACACTTGCAAGTAAATTAATATTTTGTGCTAAAGGTGCTTGTGATACAATAGCTCCTATAGGTGTTTCATTAGGTTTATTAGCTGGATTTGATACAATTTTAGAACATAAAGGAAAAGATCCTATATTTTTACCTTTTATAGCTGATACTTTTCTTCCAGATTCTGAAGAAGAAAAATTTTATAAAGAACGTATCAAATTATTTAGAGAAATTAATCAAATAGATAAAAAATTTAAAGATTTACCCTACGGGTCACCCCTATGGGGTATGATGAAAAATCATTAATATCTTCTTTTTCAAATAGTGAACTATTTAGTAGTGATGATATTAATACCTTAAAAGAAGGTTTTACTAAACATGAAAATGAATTATTTAGTGATAAAGATCAATTAATGAAACTTATAAAAGAAAATTTAAATAGACTTACACCTAAAAAATAATTTTTACAAAATATACTATGTGTATTGAGTCAAATGTTTTATACCTGTTTAAAAGTTTAATAAATAAAATTATAGTTACAAATATATGAATTTATATAATTCCCCAATTTATTACTTAAAATAATCAATTATTATATCAATAAAAATTGATTAAAGATAAGTTACCAAGATAAAAACACATTATAGATAGATATTTTTCTTTTAAGGGTGTGCACCAACAACATTTTTTTTTTATTTTGCCGTCAAAATACGGCTAGCGACCTAATGGTCGCGAATTATATAAAAGAAATAGTATATATATTTAAATAATATTATTATAGATAATTATATTTATATGTACATGTAATGAATTAATTTTCATATGATGTTAAAATTAAATTATATAATTTGTTAAAATAAATATAAAACAATTATGAATATTATAAGAATAATTTTAGATTTATTATCTATAGGAGCTATAATATCAGCTATATTAACAATTACTTCTAAAAATCCAGTTAATTCAGTAATAGGTTTAATTTCTGTATTTGTTCATAGTTCAACTTATCTTATTATTTTAAGTTTAAATTTTATAGGATTAAGTTATTTAATTATTTATGTAGGAGCTATTTCAATATTATTTTTATTTGTAGTAATGATGATGAATATTAAATATATTGAATTAACTGAAGTTGCTCAAGAATATACTCAAAATTTACCTTTAAGTTTAATAATAGGTTCTTTATTTATATTAGAATCATTTTCAAGTATTTTAATACCTTTTAATAACTTTATTGCTTATGTAGAAATATGGAATAACTCATTAAAAGAAACTAATACGTCTTTTAATATTATCGATAATAAAAATTTATCAATGGTTGATTCTTATAAAATTGAAGACTTTATGTTTTCTTTAGATCACCCAATTTTTTTATCATCATATGGTAATTCATTTTGAGATTCTATTTATTATTCTTTTAGTCATATAGAAAGTTTAGGACATACATTATATACTTTTGGATTATTATGGTTTATATTAGGAAGTTGTATTTTATTATTAGCTATGGTTGGACCTATAGCTTTATGTCATACACCTAAATATAATTTAAAATAGATTCACATCAAAGATGTAGTATTCTATGAATATTTATTAATCCTTTAGTTTTTATTTAGATATTGCATCAAAAGTGAAATATTCCCTATAAAGCAATATCTAATGAATTAAATTTTAATCCATTGACAGGTGCAATGCACCTGACTCGACACGCATTGCGTGTCTTGAATTCTACAAATAGGCAGGTGCATGCACCTGACTCGACACGCATTGCGTGTCTCGTATCTTTTGTATTTTTATCCCTTTTGTTGGGATTAGTTCAGTATTAAATCTGTTCTACAAAATTCATTTAAATGAATTTTGATTTAAGCATAGTAACAACTATATAGTTATTCAGGATCATTAAAAATAATATCTCCTTAAGTTTATAAGCATTCTTATAGTATACTAATTTAATTAATCATTTTTAATGATTTATTAAATCTCTTTAAGATTTATTTATGAGTCACCTTTGGTGACGAATTTCTGCTAATGCAGGACTTATTAGATAAGTGCAAAGTACATAAGTTGACATGTATAATATGTCTCATAGGCAGGTGCAAAGCACCACATCATCACACACTTTAAGTGTGTTTCGATGTGGGGCCCATCATAGATGATCCTGTGCACCTGACTCGACACGCAAAGCGTGTCTCGTAAAATATAATTATTCATCACATAAAGATAGAATAAATGCTTTATTAAATTTTTATGCAATATATAAGAAGTTTAAAATTAAAAATAGTTGCTTTAAGTAACCTTAAAATAAATTAACTAAATGAATACTCTTTTAATATTTATGTTATTTACTCCTATTTTTGTTATAGGATTATTATCTTTAAATTATTTTTTAGGTTTAAATAAACCAAATCTACATAAAATTTCACCTTATGAATGTGGAATGAATCCTTTAAGAACTGCAAGAGAAAAATTTTATATTCAATTTTTTTTAATAGCAATATTATTTATAATATTTGATCTTGAAGTTATATTTTTATTTCCATTTACAACAGCTTTTAATCATAGTACATTTTATGGATTTTGAGTTATGTTATTGTTTTTAATTGTTTTAACAATAGGATTTATTTATGAATTTTCAAAAGGAGCTTTAAAATTTTAAGGCAGGTGCAATGCACCTGACTCGACACGCTTTGCGTGTCTCGTAAAACTTGAAAGGGTTACAGCTATCTGTAGACCCAAAAGGGTCTTAGCCA